TATAAAAATATAAAAAAAATGTAATTTAATGAATAGCATTTGATGAAATCAGAGTAACGCCCAAATCGGAGCCTGTGTGGGCATTTTTATATTCCTTTAATTTGTTTGTACAACTTACTTGGCATTACGAACAAACAATTTAACACTTAAAGCGCCACGGCCTGCGCATAAATATGGCCTGATTTAGCACAGGATGCGGCTAATGAGCATCGAGGGAAATGCCGTGTAGCGAGGAGCAGCAGAAAAACCCATAGCAAATGTCTGCCAAATGTTGCTGGCTGCCAAAAAATTATAATTACTTAGCCTAAAAGCATGTAAGCAAGGCACATAATTTGTTTGTGTATTCAACACATTCTGCTGGCCAATTTGGGCGCGTGAATGCGTAAAAAGCGTCACAATAAGAGTCCGCAACACAATCAGAAATAAGAACAAAAAAAGAGCAGAAACCAAAAAAAACGAAAGCCGCAACACAACAGCATCGCCTGCCGTTGACACACATTAGGTACGCCAAGGACAGCAACAAAACATCAGCCGCAACGCCAACAACAGCAACAGCAGCACGAACACCAATAAAACATAAGCCGAAACGTGTTTGTTTGCCAAATTTATTGTCGGACCCGCTCGCATTTCCCACAGCGCCCAACCCAGAACATACAGCAGCCCTAGCCAACAACTGAGCGTGTATAGGTAGCTGAACATGTGTCCGTAGACGTGTGTGTGTGTGTGCGTGTGTGTGCTCGTGTGTACCTGTCAGAGAGTGCGTGTCGGTGTTGTTACTAATGACAACGAAGCCGCGACGCGCATCAGCGAGCGACACCAGAAAGTCATTGACTCATTGAGTTTTCCCTGTGTGCGATAACAACCGCCAATGCCACACCCCACACCACAACGCCCCACGCTCTGGCGCTACGACGCCTCCACACTTAGTAGTGCTGCACCGAGCTTCCCTTGGAATGTTAGATTGTTTGTTAGCCAGGAGGTTGGTTGCCAGGTTGGTCGGTTGACTGCCTGACTGCATGGCTGCGTGTCTCCATCTAGCCAACGGCACCACCAACAGCGCCCACAACAACAGCAGCCACAAAGTGGGCACTGCGTCTGCTGCCGTAGCGTTATGGCAATGATTATGTAGTGGCTGCTGCACTTACTCCATCATCATTAGACATTGTCAGGTGGCACTACATTGCCTTGGCACTTTGGCCACTTGCCTCTGCCAAAAACAGAGGCAGGACAAAGTCAAACTCAAAGAGTTCACTTTAACAAATTTTGGCAAAGGCAAGTGACCCAAAAGTAAATTGAACCCATCGATTTGAAACTTTTCGAGTTACATCGGAATAACACTTGGACCCTTAGCACCGGAATTTATTCGAATAACACTTTCAGTTCTAGTTCCCGAATATTATCTTATTTTAGCAGCACAAATATTTAGTCAATACACAGACTGATCCCATTCATTTATTAATAATAGCTTTTTTATTTGAAGCTTTACAATTATATCATTTTATGCTGTAGTTTATTTTGGAAAATCTGTAGACATACAAATATTCGTTACTCACACAACTAAATGAAATGACATTCACTTTGGGCGGTAGCTAATGGTCCATAACGACATTTATCTCTTTATGACTCTATAAACAGTTTAGTTATTTACAAGTTCATTCATGCCAGCAATTGAGGCCTGGCAAATATTTGGGTAAATAGTTTTAATTATCACGGCAAGTTTCGCAGTTAGCACTTTGCTTACGATGCGTCCGATTCTAGTGTTTTTTCTATCGATGGGCGTGGCCCTGGCAGTAGATATCAAAAACGTGGTAAACTTTCTAAAGTAGCGCCAGTATTTTCCTTCGTAATGAATTTCATTTATCTTCAGGTGCCAGTGCCAGTCAATCGAAAATTTGTCATACAATCAGTGCAAACTAATTCTGATAACGACTTTGTGGAATATTTTAGAAAAGTGCCCAATGAACGATTCCTTTACACCTTTCGCGTAGTCAAACCAGCTACGTCCTTCACAATCAGTATTACCCTGAGTACCGTAAAGTCCAAACGGATAATGTACAAAATTGACAAATTGAACGGCTGTCAATTCTTGAAAAACCAGATGATGAACAAGTTTCTGTCACAGATCTATCGAGCCTTAGTCGTGAACAACACATTATTTGAGTGCCCGATCCGTGCGAACGTTTACTTCCTGAGGAATTTGATCAACCCCAAGATTATGCCCCACTTTCACCCGCTCGGCTACTATCAACTAAGCATACGCATTGAAATGCCGGAGAACCGAAAGCCGTTGATTATGGAGATTCTCTCAAAGTATTTTGTGCTAGCCATAAAATGAACATTGAGATAGACTTTGTCGAGAATAATAATCAACCAACAAAAGATGGTTCTCATTGTCATCTTCTGACTCGGAGATACCGTTAACCCAACACACATTAACAACTTTAGTTTCCTTCAACACAAACATACAAAGCTGGTACGCACTCAGAACTACGGAAGCATTTAACTCAAAGGAAAACTTCTATAATCGTAGATACACATATATCCCATGTTTTTCAGATATAATTATCGAAAATTAAGTAATTAAAACCTTTGCACCAATATCAAGTCCATTGTGCATTTTATATCACGGTTCCATTCCAAGTTAATGATCCATAACATTAGCTTTTTATGGCTTTGTTAATATATTAGACAGTCATCTAAAGCGATTAATGATGTTCGGAAAAAAATGGGCTTACAAAAAATGATCAGTAACCTAAAAAACGCCCATTTGAAGTCTACAATGTCTCCATATCGAGTCTATTTCTTGTGGATCTTTTTACTGCTTTCAGTCGAGCAAGTAAGCTTGAAATTATGCCTTTCGGCATTCCATACTCTATATACATATCTTAAGTCTACAATATTTTAACATAGATATATATGAAACGGCTGGTTGTTGTGGAATCAGTGGAGACAAAATGCGATCACGCTTTTGTGGAATATTTCAAGAAAGTACCTAACCAAAATGGGCTCTATGCGTTTCGCCTAGTAAGGCCGGCTACGTCGTTCACCATCAGCATTGTGATGCGCGCTGTGAAGTCGCAACGCATATTGTACCAGCTGAAAAAGATAGATGGCTGCCAGTTTTTGAAAAATCAGTTTATGAAGAAGATGTTGGCTGAAAGTTACGCAGCGTTAATTGTGAACAACTCATTCTTTAAGTGCCCGATAGCCCCCAAGGTTTACTACCTGAAGAACATAAGCAAAGCCTTGGTCTCGCCGACTTTTCATCCAACCGGATATTATCAGCTTAGCACACTGATGCAAATGCCAGAAACTTCAGCGCCGTTTGTAATGGAAATCGTCTGGAAGTACAATGTCTACTACAAATAGGGATTTAAGAATCTGTTTTGTGACTAAGTACAAGTTACTTAATTAAATCCATATAAAGACAATGTCAGTTTATTTGATTTTCCAAAAATATCATTAATGCATTCATTTTCGTAGTCAAAGTCAGTGGAGCATTGCCAAAATCTGCTAACAAACCACAATACGATTTCATTATACTACATTCTTAATAAAGTTAATCCATACTCATTAAATTGAAAGAGGATTAAAAATATATATA